ACCCACTCTAATCTGAACGCTCTGTAGGTGTCTTGGGTGTCTGAATGCACCCGGGTGGGTAATTTAAACGCGTCTTAAGTATTAAAGCGCGTTCAGATTCCATAACCACTCGGGACTCACGGGAGCTTCTTTGCTAGGCTCCGCCCACTCACCCAGTCACCCAGTAATCACCCACCCAGGGAGGAATCTGAACGCAGCCCAACGTCTGAGGCCCGTAGAGCGCTCTCCGTATGTACGGTATACTCAAAATGCTTCAGGATAACGGCCTACGAGGTAAGCTCGCGTTATCCTGAAGCGAGGAACAGGCTGAGGACCTCCCACGGAGTCATAGATATAGCGGGCGTGGGCGATTCTTTATTACGAGAATTGTCGTGGCGCCTGCGGCGCCTAGCGGCGACGCCGCGCACCACTCTCGTTACATGGCGGGCGCGGGCCCGGCGCGCGGGCCAAGTGCGCGTACCGTAATGTAAGCGTACCGCTACACCATAATAATAATAAAAAGAAGGAGCATAAAGTTGTAACTTAGGCGAGGAAAGTCAAGCCGAAATGCGGGGGGAGATTGGGGGAGATTGGTGCCCAGTTTACTCTTATTAGGTCCCAGTTCTAGGGATACTCGTTCTATTATATATGTGTGTATCACACGGACACGAGCTTATATCATTGCGCTTGCGCAGACTAATAGCCAATTAAATGTGGGCACCAGTTTACCTCGTCGCACCGTCCCGCACTCGCTTTCCCTTTAAGGTGCTAAAATTCCTTTTCATACGCAGCAGCAGCAAAATGTCACGTGATTCAAATTTTTCAAAACCGCTTCCGCCGCATTTGCTGCGCATGAAAAGGAATTTGCTGCAACATATTAAAATGTTTAACCTCAATATAAATATAAGTATATAGCGACATAACCGCAAAATCCGTTCCGCAGGTTGACACTGCGTGTCGCTTATACGAAACGAAATAGAAATAAAAGTTTGATAATGTCGTACAATCAAAAATTGTATTAGTGGCATAGAGAATGTCGAGTACATCATTCAAAAACTTAAAAGAAAAAAAATTGCGATTACAGCTAGCAACTGTTTTAATTCATAGTCTATTATTATATTTATTAATAAAGAATAACTTTTTAAATTATAAGATCACTTTGTAAATAGTCATTGCAAGTTTAAAAAGTTATTAATTGGTAGTTTATCATTTACGTTTTCGATGTCGATTGAGGTTATATGACCTCAATCGTATACATATTAGACCTATTAGGATCGACTTATTAAAATAAAAATAATATTAGGATCGATTAAAAATAAATTATTCATAAATTAATCATTATTTCCGTATCTCATTCGATGTCATTTTTCGTGATATTTTTCTGTAGTATCACAATCAGTTATCTTTTGTTATTATATCACATTTATAACACGTACATGGCTGGCACACGTTGGACATATATATGACTCTTTCGGTTTTGCTGCTTGTTTGCTTTTGCTGTTCGTTTGGTTAAACTTCAAAAAGATCGCACATCCGGCTGCAAAATGTATTTTCCGCCGGATGTGCGTCATCTAACTAAAATTTTTAACCAATAGTAACGAATTGCTGCGATTTCACACTGCGCATGAAATGGCACCTTTACAACTCTATGCTCTGTCCCCTTAAGCCGGTTCTACATTAGTTTCAAGCCGATCGCAAGCTTGTTGCGACAGCCAATCTGAAGCTTGTATTTTGAAATCAATGCTTCGGATTGGCTGTCGCAACAAGCTTGCGATCGGCTTGTAACTAATGTAGAACCGACTTTATATTCTTATGTCCATGACACAGCCAATGACAATGGCTGTGTTCGTAGTTCCATCACAGTATAACCAGTAGGTCCACTCAGCGAAAAACACCCTCGTGAAGTTAGCCCGCAAGATGAAAATTTCTGAACGATCAATAGCTCAAAATAACGCTCCCGATTTGCTCCGTCCATATTGATAAATATAAAAAATTGCTCCCTTTTTGTTTTTTTAAAAAATCTAAAAAATGATTTTTTACGAAAAACGTCCATAACTTTTGATCTAATTGATATTTTTGAACAAATGAGGTCTCAAAATTTTGCTCCAAATTTGCTCCGTTCGGAGCAATAAATGTTATCAATTGGTTTTTAATAGTTTCTAGATCGGAAGAGCACACGT